GAACAGAATTTCGCACAACACCGGAAAAGGATCTCTGTTGAAGCAAAAACATAAAAAATAAAGTCGAGTAATGCCCATGCTTCTGTGAGTTGTTTAGCGGATAGCTGAGCATGAATCAATAGTTTTATTTGATACAATTTCGGCCGGAGATAGCACAAAATGTACGGAGCTAGCCAGAATGACCTCCGTTTAAAACAACTTCCGTTGTAATGACGGTCCTTCCTGTTTCACTGAAACACCTTCCGTTTCAACTGAAACACCTTCCGTTTCAACTGAAATCCGCTAATAGCTTTTCAGTAGTGTGTATGAGAGCTTTCTAGTAGCGTGTATGAGAGCTTTCTAATAGTGTATATGAGAGCGTTCTAATAGTGTATATGAGAGCGTTCTAATAGTGTATATGAGAGCGTTCTAATAGTGTTTATGAGAGCGTTCTAGTAGTGTATATGAGAGCGTTCTAATAGTGTATATGAGAGCGTTCTAATAGTGTTTATGAGAGCATTCTAGTAGTGTATATGAGAGCATTCTAGTAGTGTATATGAGAGCGTTCTAATAGTGTATATGAGAGCTTTCTAATAGTGTATATGAGAGCGTTCTAATAGTGTTTATGAGAGCGTTCTAATAGTGTATATGAGAGCGTTCTAATAGTGTATATGAGAGCATTCTAATAGTGTTTATGAGAGCTTTCTAATAGTGTATATGAGAGCGTTCTAATAGTGTTTATGAGAGCGTTCTAATAGTGTATATGAGAGCGTTCTAGTAGTGTATATGAAAGGTAAAGCTTTTCAGCAGTTTATATGAACAGTTCTCACTACTTTGTATGAGAGCTTTTGAGTAGATTATATAAGAGGTAAATGTTTTCACTAGTTTATGTGAGAGCTTTTTACTAGTGTTTGTGTGAGGTTTTCAGTATATTATATGGAAGAGTGTAATTTAATATGTGTATATGCAAGTTAATTCTGATTTATGCCCCTGGGGGCACCTCATATATTTTCTATGTCAGACGCACCACGGAAAAGTGAAAATGGGGACGATCAAATAGGACGGCTTTGGGTAAACATATCACCAGAATGACTAACGATTAGGAGGACCACTTATTTTGATGATCCACCCGCAAAAACAACATCCTCCACTTTTCCTTTAAGTGTTAGTGAATGTCGTTCTGAGGTCATAACTGAGCTGCTAAAATACTTGGAGGCATAGGGTGAGGAGCATATTACACACTGCAGCATGCATTCTCCAAATTGGTACCAAAATAACAAATAGAGCGTGGAAAATCTGCTTTAAATTATCTGTTCTTGACACTCATAACAATTTTGCAGGAGCATTCACATCACAAATATGCAGAACAGAAATTCAGCACTCAGATATATTATAGTTTTCCCCACATTTCTGTAATTGTGTTCTGGTGATTTTAGCCATCGGGAGTGTCTATCATCACACATGTGGCTTTGTTATAGTTCACTTGCAGTAAGCATAATGTGAAGCAAACTGCACCACATGACTGGAAAAAAAAAGTAAACTTAAAGCTACCTGAGGCTTTCATGCTGCTTCACCAAGACAGACAAAGCTTCAGGATTTTCTCTCAATTTGTTGCAACTGCTGGATAGATCCAGTGACACGCTCTTAGATAATCTCATCTAAGATGTTATAGCTAAACTATTTTCTACTGATGCTTCTGTAAAGCCGGATATAAGGGCTGCATGATATGTCATAATCATATCGTCATCGCAATATTAAAGTGTGTAATATTCATATGCAAAAGGACTGTTTCTGATAAAATAATAGTTAGATAATAGATTCAAAGTGTTGTATTCCTGAAATTTACCATATAACTCTGCAAATCAGTCAATAAAACCAATGGATCAGGTTTTAATAAAAGTAAACACCTGCTCATCTTCCAACGGGCCATTTCTGAGACAAAACCATAGCTGATTTTTTTAAAAGTGTTACAATTTTCAAGATATTTTTGTACAAAATCAATTGCAAGGACGAATATATATATTTTTCCATTAAGAAGAAAAAAACGTTATTGCAACATGCAAGGACACATAAACTTGGCTCCAAGAAAATAAGTGATTTCATTCAAAAGGCAGTATTTTTTTTATGATAAATAATTGAGATACAAAGCTTCCCATTGGAAGCTCTGTCATTATCAAGACTTTTTTGGATTAAGCTGTAAACCAGGCATGTCAAACTCATTTTTGTGTCTGCTCACTTCTAAATCAAGAAGTTCTTCCAAGGGTCCGTAAGGGGCTGTATAAAAGAAACCTTTGATTTCATCATTTCATATAGAAAAAGCACACTGCTCTGGTATTATAACTTTTACTCCATTTAATTCACAGTCTTAGAGATTTTGAAGACTTTAAGAAAACACGGCTCTACTTTTTGACATGATATCCCTATATTTGCTCCTCAGGCATGATGTATTGCTTCTGTGCACAGATTCAGTCTGTGGGTATGGAGCAGGGTTACGCAGTGTCACTGTCCTGCTGCTTCTGCATGCATCGCCCCCTCAACAAACCTGAAACAAATAAATGGTTGATGGCCAGGCCTCTGCTAAACTTACAGACATGCTAAGGAGGTAATTTGGACTTTTGTTTAAGGTGTGTTGTATTAGGGATGCATGCAAAAGCTGCAGGACACATGAGCTTTAAAAATTTAATAGTTTTCCATAGGTTAATTTCAGAGTTGACCATGAAATAACCTCCAACCAACCACCAAACATGGCAGTAGAGAGCCTGCTTTACAGCTATAAGACCTCAGCTGCGTAGTCAATGAGTCCATCATGAATCCTCTGTATGTCAAAGTATTCTAGTGTCCAAGGTGAGGCTATAGCATGTGACCAATGTGTATTGATTAATTTAAAAGATGTGTACACATTTCTTTTCACAAAACACTGTATAATAACCAAGGTTGATCTATTTTACAGCAGGACTGAGAATTAACAGTAACACTGAATAGAGTGGAGATCAATGTTAACATTGAATCATCAAGGGAAGCAAGGTGAAGGGAAAATGTGCCTCTTTGTATTATCAGTGCAAAGCTATGGATGTGACCTCCAACAACTTCAATTACAGACATTTTTTCTCCTCCAACACAACATGTATGGATTTTCAGCTAAATAGCTTTGAATCAAGGTAATAAGATGAAAAGACAGGAGGAGACGTGCCACACCTGCAGCAGCTGAAATATATAAAGCACTTTTACAAGACCAAGGAATTGAACAAACCTTCAGTCTTAAACCGTACCAGATAATCAACAACAGCCCCCCCACTGCCTGTGTGAATGAAGAAAATAAAACAGTATATGGAGTTGTTTCACCTTAAAATTGATGTGCACATGTTTTATTATATAGAAAATGTAGAAAAAACAAAGAAGAATTAGAAAACTATTTTTTTTTTTATGCTTTTGTAAAAAAATACCCTGTTTTTTAATGGTGTTCAAAAGGAAAATGGCAAACTGACAAATATCTCAAGACGGTATTTAAGGGGTGAAACTGTCATTTTATTTGCCTCTAACTCATATTGAAACCAAAAGATTGAAAAAGTATATATAATGATAATTAATAGTACCTTAAGAATTGGAGTACATACATTACAATGATAGATATTATCAATAAAAAATAATGGATGGATGGATGGATGGATGGATGGATGGATGGATGGATGGATGGATGGATGGATGGATGGATGGATGGATGGATGGATGGATGGATGGATGGATGGATGGATGGATGGATGGATGGATGGATGGTTTTGGTTTGGTTCGCCACTACTACCCATCGTTTCACTTCCTCTAACTGAGCTTTTAAGTTTCTCAAACTAAACTTAGGACAGGACATTGCATCTGTGAGTCAATGACAATGACTTATCTGTTTCATAATGCTTCCAGAGACGAAAAATTAATGACAACTAGTACTGATGATCAGAAAATAAATAAAATACAAAAGCAAGATGGGGGTGAGGGAAGGTCCAAGATTCCAGGCAGTACTTTGGACATGTTGTTACAGTAGAAACACTGTAAGAGCTGAAAAAAATAAAACCTATGAGGGAAGCTATGTGATGAGGAACAGTATGGCACTTGTTTGAGAATCATTAATGGTGTCACAGATTTGAGTGATTTATAAGGACAAATCTTCCAGGATTACCTTTTACTACCGGTTCTTCTCCCCTAGCTTAAAAACTCAAACAGCTTTGACTTTAGAAACAAAGAACTGGATGAGAGGAGATAACCTACCTTTAACTACATGACAATTAGCAGGGGGAAAAAATTATAACCTACTGTCAGTAATCTGTACAACTGTTTTAGTCTGGAGGGATTTTTGTTAAGTTCTTATAAGACCTTCACATATTCCCATATTCTGAGTTTTCCATTGGGCTACATTTTACTAAGTGATTCTGGAGTTCCATGATTTTTTTTTTGTATTTTTTCCACTTTTTATTGAACACCCAAAGAGAAACAAGGTCTGAAAGTCAGCTAGTAACTGAAGTCAAAAGTTCAGGCAAACATTGACTTTGTGTGATTTAAAGTTAATGCTTTGACCAATGACCTTTTTCTTCACCTGACCCATGGGTTTCCCAGAGAATTGGAACTGAGGGCCTGAGGTGGTGAGATGGTAAATTCCTGTCTGGGCATCATGATCTACTGTTTGTTTGCTATGAGGGGAGCATTTGATTTTTTTTTTTCGCATATTGCTCCTTAGTTTTATGCAAAATCAACCTGGGGTTTTTAGTTTGAAGAAAAACTGTATCCTAGTCTGACAGTTGATTGACTGATTGATTGATTTTATCAATAATTGCTGAATCATAAAAATGCAATCCCCACTGATATTCTCAAATGAAAGGTTGCAAATTCTAGATTTTTCATTACTCTGAGATTATGCTACAGTGATATTAAATACATTAAATTTAAAGAATTTTATATCTCCACACTAGGGACACAAATAAATGTGACTAGAAGTGTAAACAGTTTTATTTCCCAATGCAAAGCTCATTACTTACTCAGTGTCTGTGATTACGTAGCCAAAAATGTCATCATCTGGCTTCTTTCTGTCGGTTTTCACGTCCAGCTGCAGCTCTGGAGAATGCATCGTCTTCTTGTGGGGCTCCTCGTACACCAGAGAAGCTGGAGGAGGCACAACCTCCTTGATCCAGCCTGCCACCCCCGCCACCTCCTCCACAGACTTGGTGGTATCTTTCTTCTGCAAGGCCACTCCTGCCTCACTTGTGCGGCTTTGGACATTTTCGAGGCCCACCTGCCGGCCTCCAGTCACCTCAGCAGCGACATCATAGCGGCTTCTCCCCAAAGAAGGATCAGCAAGAGAGGATTGATCCAGGTAGGCCAGCAGTTTGTTAAAGAGGCTGCTGCTTTCAGCCTGGAATGAAAATAAAAAGAAACGTCTCATAAGGTTGATTTGATTGAAATAAGTTTTGAATTTAAAAGAGATGCCTACTGTAACTTTATTTTTGTTCAAGGTGGAAGTCTGTCTGATTTTTATTTTAAAAATGGGTCTACAAAAGTAATACATTTCATTTTCAACAGAATGTAGCAAAAAATTAAATCTATACTATGTTATTAACCTTGGTTTATTAGACTGAAGCTGCTTTTAACTAAATACCACTGCTTTGAATATAACTCAAAACAATAAATACTGCTTAAACTGAGCTAAAAAAGAATGTCAGATAATGTAGGATTTTTTTGTTGTTGTTTTTATTAATGACAGTTATTGGGAACAAAATAATTGCCATCCAATTGAACTGCCTTGCGCTGCCATACTATCTGAATTTCATGGCTGTAAGCTGTCAGAATCATTTGGAGCCATTATCCAGCTCTCATTGCGAACATGTCTGGTTTGGATCATTCAATTTCAATTCAATTCAGTTTATTTATATAGCGCCAAATTCACAACACATGTCATCTCAAGGCACTTTACAGTTCAACCAGATCATACAGTCAAATTGATACAAAGTTTTCTATCTAAGGAAAACCAGTTGATTGCATTGACTCATTGACTCAAATACAATCCCCCACACTAAGCATGCTTGTAGCGACAGTGGAGAGGAAAAACTCCCTTTTAACAGGAAGAAACCTCCAGCAGAACCAGGCTCAGTGTGAGCGGCCATCTGCCGAGGCCGACTGGGGTTCAAGGAGACAGAAGCAGAGATACAAAAAGCAGCTGTAAAAGGCGGCCCCGTCCAGGAAACACACAGCCAGGCAGACGAGCTCCAAGGCAGCTCCCATGCCAGAGGACGAAGAGAGCACATCCACTCAGTCACGGTCAGAGAAACAGGAAATCATATATAACACATATCATTGTGTTATATAAAATAAAAAGCACATCAAGCAACCTAGCAGTTCAGCTATTTCTCAAGGTAGCAATGAAAGAGCCTCTGGGCTAAACAACCTCTCCCATCTTACTTAACATAAGGTGATGTAAAACATTTTACAGGCAACTTTGAGGAGATACATTTAAAAAAGGCGGCATTCTGGAAATATTGATTCCAGGACCAAAGAAGGGATTTATTTGTTTGGCAGAAGGTTTCTTTCCGTATATTGTATGTACTAAAGCTGGATCTCTGTCTATGCTATTGACTGACATTTAAAGTTCAGAGGTTTGCTGGAGGTCATTACTCAGCCTCACGGCATACTGTATAAATCCCTAATTTAATCAAATACAAACAGTCCTGCATGTCCAGCAATTTGGTGTTTTTTTATTGTGTGTTTTTATTATCCTCTGCAGCAAATAAGCGAGGATAAAAAAAATGGCTTAATAGATTGCCAAATTAAAACGATACTAAACTTTATATTCTTATAAAGACATTCAGGAAATAGGCAATTTAAATGTCATTAAAGCCTCTGAAATGTCAGGACGTCTATTTAAATAACTACTTATGGTAAACACAAATTGCTTCATAAATCCAAAATGACTCTGATTAGCTTCCGGAACAAAAAGATGATCTAGATCTAGATTTTGTTGTACCCCAAAATAATGTTTTGAATCACTTAAGGCTTTAAGTTCCAAGAAAGGCATTTAAAATAGGCTGTACTTACTTTCAGAAATGTTAGGTCTCTAAACCTCTACCTCTACACTTTTTTTTTATTCTTAAGTACTTGAAATTATTGGTTTTTAGATCTTATTTTTAAACAGTTTCATAACTAAGTTCTTCTATTGATGTTAATGTGTCGGCTGTCTACAGCCGCAGGCGTGACGAGATAATTGCCTGGAATCAAAGAAAAAGCCAAACTGTCAGCGACCGTGTTGAACGCGATTATGATATGCCACCATTCTGTTGGCCGTGACTTAAGGGTAATTGTTCCTCTCGTCAGGAGCTAAATGCCGCTTTAGCGGAAACGCTGGGACAAAAACCCTACTTTTGTTCTGCCTTTAAACAGTTCTAAATCTAATCTCTGACAAGTTCAGAATGTGCCGAGGATCAATAGGAAGAAGCAGGAAGTTTGGATGGGGTTGTTCAACTGTTAGAATACATCAACTTCTCCAAACATATTTCATCCTATCCGCATTTATTGGTTAAACCTGTCTCAAGCCTGCCTGAAATGTTTATGGGAGATTTACCACTGTAAATATTAATAATGAACAGGAGAATATGACATGCTGAGCCCGACACAATCTGACACACTTTAAAAAGGTGATTCCTCAACAGAACTTTTGGGACTTTTTCCAGGATCTTTTTCAGTCCCTAAAAATGACTACTGTGTTCCTGCAACTGTCCCTGAACAGTTAGTTCATTTTGTTATATTGCAGATGTCAAAAAAATTATTCACGAAGGCTGAAGGACAGTAAGTTCTGTTTGCTTACCGGATCATTCGCATGAGCCTCCTCTGCATCTGTGTGGCGCTCTGTTGGTTAAAAAAAAAATATTGAGACAATAATTTCTTTTTAAAAAGGAAACAAATTGAATAAAAAAAAACACAGGACTGTTTAAAGCAACATAATTCCTGCAAACCAGATTTTCCATTTCTTCTCAGAAATGTTTATCCATTTTGTGGAAGAGGCGTGTTATTTATCATTTAGATCCTTAACAAACAGATGTTCATTATTCCCCTTAAAAACATTAATTCCCAATGTTTTAAATCATCTTTAGAGCCTTATCACCAAAAGCAACATTAGATCGAATGGCCTCATTGGGCAGCAACGATTACCCCTTACTGTTTATGCTCTTCTGTGAGCGAATAAAAAAATATTTTTTGCTTTAATGCAGATTTTTATGTTTTACTCAACAGGGAGTTTAATTTTGTTGAGTTTTTACTGCACTAGTGGCTCGTTTTTCTGACAGTTGGCTGACAGGAAAGGGGGTAAGAGAGAGAGGGAGAGACATGCGGCAAAGGACAACAGGTCAGATTTAAACCCGGGTCGGCCGTGTCAAGGACTAAAGCCTCTGTACATGGGTCGCGCGCGCTAACTACTGCGCCACCTGCACGCCCTACAGGGAGTTTTATAGTCATTTTTGATTGAATAGAATAATGTAAGCAAGCTTTCAAGTAAAAAATTGTAATATTGTAAAAAATAACTGAAGTAATATTTACCTTTAAGTGCCTCTACGGCCAAAGGAGTGCTCCCCTGAGGGTTAGGGTTCAGAGTAGGCATGTTCTGCTGAAGTGTTTCATCCTCTTTAGCTCTGGAAGCCTCCTGACTCGAGTCACTCTGTTCACCCTCAAGGTCTCTAAGTCCAGGTCCTCGATCCCGGCTCAGGGCCCGGTTCGATCCCTGGTCCTGGTCGACGACCAGAAGAGCGTCAGCGATTAGGCTGGAGAGCTGGCTTAGGTCTTGTGGTGTCAGGTTATCCACATCAACATGCTGTCTGCCAACGTTCTTTAGGACCTTCTCGATGAATCTCTCTAGAGAAAAAATAGAGCTCAGCATCAGTATAAAAGTATTTTTTACATTTTAAATAAAGTTAGTTTAGTTAGTTAGGACTAGTTAGTTTATATTAAAGAATACATGAAATCTCCTTTGTTATAAATAGCTTGTAATTTCGCAGACATCCCAAGTTGCAAAAACTTATTTCATGGAGATTCTTATCCAAACCCCTAGAACATTTGATGTGCTTTCTATTTTTCTTGGAACCCCACCATACACTTCGCCACGGTGTCATCATTCTTCACCTTCACTCAATATTGATATATTTAGTATATTCTGTTGTAAAATAAGCTTTGTATTTTTGTTATGTACTTGAGGACTCCACCTCTGCCTTTTACTAGGATGCACAGCCTTGAATGGTAACTAGATGACTTTTAGAGAGTAAGCTGAAACTTACTGGCCTATTTTTTTACTAAACCACTCAGGGTGCTCACTGACGACCAGTCGCCTGGAACGCTCTTTGAACAGAGCATCGCTTTGGACAGATACGCTGCACAGGATTCACAAGCAGCCTCCTCCTAACACTCCGTCTCTGTACCTCTGCAATCGAATTCGTTCTAATCCGCACATGATGCACAAATTATTGTATTGCCTGTACGCTCTCACTCGCATAAAAAAACACCACCTCACATTGTCTAAAATCTGGGATAATTTATCCGACTCGCTGGCATCCATGAACAACTATTGATATCTTGGGCTTGGGATGTCTGGTTTTGTGAAGAACAAAAGCTATCTCTTTATATTAACCATAGTAAGACTTCATGCACCATCTCTCTGTGCTGTTCTCTTGTTTAAATAGTCGGGTCTACCGCACAAGCATATACATGCATGTGCGTGCATGTAAACAGCTAATATTCAGGGCTCACCAGCAAAGCATAGAAGAAAATGACCGACATTGCATCCAGTGGACCACAACGTTCACATGAAGACAATCAGGGCTTATCATTATCATAAACTCCCACAGGATAAACATTTCTTTGACAAGAAAAAGTTATCAAATAAGGAAAGGGAGAAAAGAGGAGTAACATTGGCCTCCAAAGGTGGAGAGCACTTCAAGAGCAGAAGCAGCTGCAGTTTGACTTGAAGCTAGATTTCCTCCTTCTGGACTGGATGGTAACAGCATGAAGTCAAAGGTTTGGTTTTGTTGGGGTAAAAGTTTTGTTTGATGTGTGATTCAATGTTGATTGGTTTCACCGTAATATTAACATTGTGGTATGTGGCTGATTTACTGGAGTTTGACCAGCAATGAATCTGACGTCACTGTCATGTGAGACAAAAGCCTGTAGCTCAGCTAACGCAGTATTGTTAATGCAGCCAGTGAGGCATGTGAGCTGCCTATAGGGATCCTTGAGTGTATTCAGAGCATGCCTTTCATGATAAATAGACTGCTATTTATTATTTGAGTCTTTCGCATGACCCGGTACAGTAGCAGCCATTCAAAATGGCCCTTCCCAGTCAAACACCAGCCGAATGACAGCCCACTTCCCTCCAACTTCCAGCCACTGGAGTGGCCCCCCTCTTGCATTTGTTTTTACTCTGACTCCACCCTTTCCCTGAATTACAGGGTTTGACCAGGAGATGACGCTTCTCTTTAGATCTTAATGTCCACAAATCATGGCAAAAACAATATTTTAGTACAAATACTGAGGTTTAAACCAGCTAAGAACCAGCCAAGGGCCCATCAAGGAAAGTGGGGAAATTTTGAATGGCTACTACTGTAGTTGTCTCTGCTCCATGGATTCTGTGTCGTTACACTTAGTCTTTACCCCGACAGCAACTTAAGTGCTTTGTCTCTTTTATTGTAATCAAGATGGCAAAACAAGGCAGAGAGGAGGTATTAAACGTAGTGTTGTTTTGGTCTAGAGACAGAGCTCAGTTAGCACATCTCACTTTTTGCTCTTACAAGGCAAACTCTTACAAAAAAAAGTATCTTAATATCAGTTATATATTAAATTAATTTCCCAATTGTCCTTGAAAAACAAAAAGGCATTCTGGGCTTTTAAGGACAGTTTTCTGACACAAACCATCCTTTTGAGTCACATACTGTTGCATGAAAAGAATCTCTCTCATTAAGAGCGTCAATGTCATTTGTCTGTTTACAAAAAAATCTTTGTATATAGGAATATGTTAAATAGATGGCTTTTAAAAACGCTTAGAATTATAAAATGGAATGGATCTAAGTCAAGGAATGGTAATGAGAAATGAGCAGAGCAGGAAATCAAGAGACATTAAGGAACTCCAGCTGCTTCCCGCAGAAGTGAGTTTCCAAATTCCCTTAAGGGTAAGAGCTTGTTGACTGCACTGTTTAGCCTTGTGCAATTCAAACTCTGTTCCCCAAGTTTCCAATTATTTTTTATCTAAAAAACTTTTAAGCATATTTTTCTGTCTCGTTCCTGACAATCTGCATGGTTTTGTCAGCATGTAAAGCTGAAATAAATACTTCAACTACATCCCCAAATGCAAGGATGCAGAGCAAGTAGAATAGGAGGAAAGTTAAGCCATTTTTCAATTAGTTACTATGAAAAAGTTGTACTTTTAAAGCAGGGATAAAAAAAAATCAAAAATCATCAGGATCTGAATAAAGAAAATCATCAACCAGCAGAGGTCCAGAGACATTTTTAATTATTTTCTGTTTCTTTAAACAGAATTTAACACTGAAATAAAATGAGGTTTTCATGCATCCATGTTATATATTGAATAAAAAAAAAAGATAATAATTCAATTTTAAAATCTAAAATGTAGAAGTAGAGAACAACAATCGGTCAGTTTGGTATATAGACAATTTCCTGATTCACATATTTAATAAAACACCCGAACTGACTTTTAGGCTTTAAATCTGGGTTTGAATGGCAACAAAGCGTTTCTCAAGCACATATCAAGGTGCTGATTTTGAGCCTGGATCCATATTTATGTTTTATTACGTTCATGCTGGAGAATCCTGCAGTAGGTTAAGCCAAACCTACTCAAAATGTCCAGGGTCATCTTTGAGCACCATTTCACTTTTCTTTCACCAGTTCACTGTGCTTCTTCCAGCAGGCCACTCTTTCTCTGCTCTCTTTTTCTCATCATCTTCTCCTTCTTTCCCATCGCCCCGCTTGCCAAAGGTTTGCCTGCTGTGTCTAAAAGTAGCAGCAGCAGCAACCCAGACTGACAGCAGCTCATTGGCTAATTTATATGACGTGTTGCCTGGTCCCAGACTTTACCATGTTAACAGGAGAAGCAGCGCAAGTGAAATTAGACACAGTCGTCGGACAACATGCAGTAATTTATAAATGTTTTAAATCCGGTTGTGTCCGGATTAGCCAGCAGGTGGGTCCAGATCCAGACCGCAGTCTGCTAATTCATGACCTCTGTTTTAAAGTTTATTTATGGGCCTCTCTATAAACAGACATAAAGAAGGCTCTCGGGGATGCAGTATGAACAGTACATAAATATGTATTCCTTAAGACAAATTTATAGTTTTTTTCATTTTACACAGATTAGACCATGCACTTTTTGTCTTAAATTCAGCTCCATTTGTTAAATTCAACTCACTTGAATTAAAAAAAAGTTCTTAAATTACTTAACTCTGTCTAAATATCCAAATTTATTTGCAATATTCAAATCCCAAATTTCTTCATTATAGTCACAGTAAAAAATAAAGGATTACTATTTGCAGTTGAATGGATGATAAATGTATGGGATTTTACAAAGAGAATCTTATAATCACATCTGTTTTCTCCATGGATGCTGGGAGGCTTGGAATGGAACTAAACAGCTCTCAGACAGAGATATTTCTAATTCCAACCATGCAAGGAAAAATGTGCTACATCATTCTGAGAGCCTAATGTTGCTACCGCACAGTGTTTAGAGTGACAGCAGAACCATGCAAAACATTTTTGCTTCCTCATTCATTTCTAAGACAGTGTGCTGTGCTGCTACAGCTGCACTCTCAGTTGGGTTCCAGCAGGAAGCTGTAGTGAAAAAAAAAAAGAAAACACATCTGACAGGAAGTTGAGGAAAGATGTGCCTTAATTTAATGTCTCACCATCTGGGAATATTGCAGGTTTGCAAAACAAGAACTTGGTGAAAAAGAAAATAAAACAACTCTTTATGAAGACACATACCATCCACAGATGTCAGAGGCTCCTTGGCTGAAGCTACAGGGGAGCTACCCGTCTTCACAGGTCTGAAAGGAAAGGTCTCCTTTTTGAGGCTGGGATTTTCTATGCCATTGTTGTATAATGGTCTGAGCCATGGAGAGGGGGCTTCCTGCTTCATTCCACCACTGTGCAGAGAGAGATGCCCAGAGAGATAGTGCCTCAGGGCTGCCAGGAGAAGGTCCCCATCTGCCTGCGAGGCAAGCAGCTGGTTGGAGAGAGGAACTTGCTTTTGCACTGGCTAGAAAGAGGAAAAAGATGAGAGACTGAAAGGAACAAAATCTGAGGCAAAAACATGGAAATAGAGAGACAGAGGTCTACATGGATACCTGACTTGGAAAGTATCATAAAATAATGTTCTGTGATGTTACATCTATCGCCTCACTGCTTTATGTTTTAAGAAGTTAAACATTTTGAGATAAAAGAATCATTTTAAAAAGCTAGAAAATAAATGATAATTACATAGGTATTCAAAGGTTTCAGACAAGGAATTTTAAAATCATCTGTTGCCTTCCGGGTGCCTTCCAATGTAGGCCTGCATGTGATTTCAAGACAAAGGTTTCAAACATTTGTCTTCACTAAAACAATACACAATATTAATGGATTTGAACCAAGGTTCTCAATCAGAAACGTACCACTTAACCTGCATTACACATTTAAAAGTTTTTTTTATTTATTTAAAGGATTGATAAGGAAGACTAGTAAAATTTATTCGTCCAACTTTGAACTATAACACAACTGATTCCAAAAAAAGAAAATTAGAAACAATCCGCAAGCAAATTGCATGTTTCAAAACAAAAAACAAGGCTTTGTTGGGCTACTGCATAAAACCTTGAACTCAACGCTATTCCTGACATTTTGATTTGAAAAAGCTTCCTGGATGGGAAGCGAAACATCTTCAAACTTGGAAACAAAGTCCAGTGGATTTTTTTCCCTTTTTTTTTAAATGACTATGACATGGATGACTGGGAATCTTCACCAGTGTTACACAACTGATTTATCCATTTCTAGACTAATACATTTTTGTTGTACTGATGACATAAAATTTATTCATAATTCATAAGTTCAGAAGAATTATAGACTTTTTTTTTTTTTTTTAGAAATTTATATTTTCCTCTCAAACAACAAAAACGAGTCGTCACTGCTGGCTCCATTAACGGCCACACAAGACAAGCAGCAGCACCTGCTTAACTAATACTGAAATTATAATAAAAGGTTCCTCTGACTTGTCATGGTGTATCATTTGTATGCACAGGCTCCCTTCAAGTATCTTTATCTGTTTGTTATGCCTGTGAACCTACGGGGCCCCTTCAATCCTACTGGTCGCTTCTTTTCCAGACTGCAACAAGTGAAACGGGCGAAATATATCCACACACCCCCGAGCAGTGCCTGTGGACTTCCCACAGCTGTACCCAGAGCACAATCTCCCAGCAGGACATAAAGGCCTCAGAGGACCTGACAGAGGGCCGAGTCACATCATGTGTAATTAATGGAAAGAGTGAACTTGTTAACTTGAAGACAGAATCATTTTTCTATTAACATTCAAGCGGTGAGAGACCTTTGGTTAGAAAAGAGAGATGGAGAACTCTATCGTGGTGGAGGTGTTAGTATACGTGAGATAAAAAAATGCTTACATTAGAATTATTCAAGAAGCATGACGGCAGCTTCTGCCACTGACCAAAGGGACACTTCAGATTACCGATTTTTGTAAAGCTCAAACTGCATCTACTGATTTCTTGCTAAAGGTGAGATTCCCCATTTTTGGTTTAATTGAAGTCCTAACTGTTCATTATATGATATCTACACAAAACTACTCATTTTTTAAAGGTAAAATATTCTAATAGAAATTATTTACGCTGTAAAAGTAAATCATCACAGAGGAGGAAGCTGCAAACTAAAGAGAAGCTCACCTTGGAAGGTTTGCTCAGGCTGGAGCTGGAGGACGTCTTGGGAAGGAGGCCTAAACGTTGGAGGTACGTCTGCAGGTTTCTGTTAAGTTCCACTTCTACTGGCTTCACCCGTTGGTCTTCAGGGTCCATCGCTTCAGCTGCTGGCCTGCAGGGGAGGATGATTCATTTAAAACACAAAGATACAAACCTAATACCACAGACTCTCAGTACAACATAAAAAAAATATTAAGATGTGCAAATAGTATTAAGTTTACCAGGATCCTACATCTTGACTTTGCTTAATTCGCCCACTCTACTTTGAAAAGGTTCATAAGTATTCCAGAACTTTAATTTTCTTCTGGTAGAACCATGCTGTTAAATCGTGTACTAACTTGAACAGATTGTGATCCAGAAAGTAAAGAGAAATATTATTTTTTACATAATTAGGATAGTAGCAGCGACCGGATTGCTTCTAAATAAGAATCAATTGTTATTTGAAATTGTTCAAAATGTTATCCCTACTGACATAAAGTCTAAAAGAGCAACTCCAGACCATAATACCGCCACCACTATGGTCTACTGTTAGTTTACTGTTCTTTTGAGAATGCCCAATTTGTGCCTAATTGGACCAAAAGTTCTTCCATTTCAGACCACAAACACATTCAGGAATGAAAAGGACGCACTGTCCAGAGAGTAGCAGTAATCTGGATAAAATGCCATAATGATGTCAGAGCTGAGAACAAGAATTTGCAAACTGCTTTTAGATTATTAAAATCTAACAAACCTACTTAGCAGTTGCTACAACCAAGTTATGCAGAATAATATCTTTGAATGTATAACACGTTAAGCCCTGAAACAGATTACATATTATGTTTCGGGACCAGCTGCAGAGATACAAAAAAATTTAATAAAATGAAAACTTTCTTCTTTCAACACAAACTCAGTTTAGAGGGTCGACCTGCTCTTGCTTTTGTAGATAGGTCCTTTCTGCTGCGGCCGGTAGGGAATCCTCCTGAGCTTTGATAACTCCTTGGCCAGGACCTGCTGCGTAGTGTCATCTTCCCAGGTCAAACCTACAGCCAGAATCACGGAACAGTTAGAACACAAGAGTCCAGATGGATCTGTCGTGCAGTGAAAGACAGAAAACTGGGAATCTTCCAGAAGAATGGGTAGCAAACTGCTGAGTGTGTGCAAATACTTCTAAACTCATCAGGTCACTCATTAGCAGACGAGGTGAGGTAACAGCGCAGCGTCTTTGTGAGACTTTGACTGAGTCAGAGACTACGCAGACACCTGTTCTGGTCATACACCTCTACATTTATTATAAGCATTTAATGAGAGAGTTGGGAATTATATAAGCTTTTATTTGCATAAATTTCTGCAGCAGGAAATTGATTCTGAAAAGATTAAGGTAACATAAGGGAATATGGCTATTAGTCCTCAAGAGGCAATCAATTACATGTACTCTTTAATCACCTTATGAAGCAAAAAAGGACCCTCCTTCCTTTTCATTTGATTAAGACAGAATAGGTTTAACTTTTTTGGCTGAATCTTTCAATACAAACTTAACTATACATCTCAAAAGATGGTACTGTACTAATTTTTATCTTTTTTTAAAAAGCATTTTCTTTGCATGTACTTTGTAAGGTAAAAACTTCTGTAACCAAGATGCTAGTGTGCTTGCACCTTAATAACTACAACATTTGTGTCTAAATGCGACTTGTCATCGTCAATGATAAGATAAAACAAAATCTTCCTTTTTTAGCATTTGTGCAAAAGGACAAGCTGGATGAGCTGCATGGCCGCTCGCGTCTGTTGCTTATGCTTAACATGCATCCAAACACAGATTTTTGGCAGCTGAACAGAGGAGCAGGCGCCAGCGCCAGATGGGGTAGCGGAACGAAATGTTACCGGAAATATGGCTGCTGCGCACAAAGCACAACATGAACAGGAGCCTTTGGCAGATGAGCGATGACGCCACTGAAGAACCCAAGTAACGCAGACTGCAAGTCCAGATGTGAAGCCAAGGGATGGGGGGGTCAGAGAACATATACTTCAAACAGAACAAGAACTCTGCTTTTAAACAGCGGATGCATTAAAAATGTTTATTTTAAAGTGAATATTGGCAATTTAATAGATTATTAATACAAACTGTGTGCAGTGGAGACAGAACCTTGACAGTGCAGAGTTGCAAAAAAGGGTTTTGAAATGCAATAAAAGAAACATATGACCAATGTTAGAGCAAAACATTTTTATAATTCAATTGAAAAGGAAGGAAAAATCCTCATATTATTGCAAAGTTGGACACAGCTCAAGGATGTCTTTAGTACTCTAAGACACAATTTCTTATGAATGTCTACAATATAATTAAACTGAATTCGAAGGCTTAGGTAATCAAAATTGCCACTGGATTAAAAACTGAATTAAAAACTAAAACCACACAAAAGCAACTTTAAAATAGTTTTTTTTACCCTTTGTGACTAGAAAATTACTTGATAAGCAGAGTAACGCCTCAGTAATTCAGCGCTAATGCATCTATAAGCCTATAGCCTATTTTCCTGAATATACTTCAGGTCGGAAGTTCCTGTGCTGTTCTTCGGATGTGACGTCAAGCGTGTCCGGGCTGAATGGCTCCGACCTGGCAAACAATTTCAGTGTTTTATTCAAGATGGATCCTGTAGATACTGAGAAGCAACCAGCATCCTGCTTAACCCAGACACCAAACTCCACATAAGGTGTAAAAAGTAAAACAACAAAGCTTGTAAAGTACGACAGAGAGCTATGAGAACGAGCAGAAGATTGGTGCAGTTCTGTGCTTTGGCCACAAGTGGCAGTATCAGTAGAAAACGAGGTAATGTCTCTTTAAGAATAGAATGAAAAAAAGAATAGAAAATCCCTCTATTGTCCCACAATGGGGAAAATGTGATGTTACAGCAGCAAAAGTGGTCGCACAAATGTGGAGCTTAAATAGAAATATAGAAAGAGCAGAATAAGTGACAAGAGTTAAGAAAATAACAAATAAAATACAGTAATGTAAAGGGATTTTACAATATATAAAAACTGTGCATCTGGAAAGAATAAATAATCGATATACCGCTGTGGACAATTTTACAATAATGGACAATTGAAAAAATACCAGCAAACACCAGATATGTGCAAAATGACAGCAGCATGTTATTTAAATGACCAAGACAGAAACTGTGCAAAAAAATAGGCATGAATGTAACAACTTATTGAGGTTCTTGGGAACAGTGATGGTTATAAAGTCTTACAGCTGCTGGCAGGAAGGATCTGTGATAACGCTCCCTGGTGCATTATGTATGGTGTAGCACTCTGTGACTGAAGGTGGGAATGCGTAGTTAAAATGTTGAAGAATAGGATCAAAAGGTAAGAGATCTTTTACGAATTTTGCGATAACCCCAAAAACATGCTACCGAGTGTTACTAATGCATTATGTATATATATATATCTGACTGTAAGGACCCAGATAGGATTAAAACTCAGGACCTTTTGACTTGTACACAGGAACATCTTCATTTGAAAAAAAGAGTACCATTTATTGCTGAACATGTATTTGCTTTAAAGCTTCTATTTTACGAAGGACACTCAACCCAATTCAAACATTTAGAAAATCTGCAGCTAGTGTAATAGAAAATTTAGATGAGTCAATTTAGAAATAATTAGTAATTTTCCTAAGAGGCAATAGTAACTAGCAGCTGTTTTGAAATGCATAACAAAACCAATAACTGTAATGTATTCCGATAAATAAAAGCGTCCAACCTCTACCAGCAGAGAATCTAATTATAGCAAGAGTTCAACTCGTAACAGAACATTTCAGACCCAAAACGGTTGCTTTACACTGCGAATAAATGAATTACGACCTGACCTGCCAGGCAAACGGGCACAAGCATTTTTCCAACAGCTGCGCAGCGTGTCGGGCAAAGCTTTCCCCATCAAAGAGCCATAAAACGGCGCTTTTAACGGCAGCGAGGGTGGCTCTGAAAACGGGAGTTGGCGTTGGGTGAACAGACGGCATCTGACACGACAGGTTAATGAACGTTGGAACCCCTGCCAGGATATTCAGAGACTCTACCCCTCTCACTGACTGAGCCGACTGCTGAAATGTGGGCAGAAGTATGTCAGCAAAGTAAGATGTTTAAAACATTCTTCCTGTGGAAGTGTCTTTAACTGAATGTCTGGTGCTGAAGAGAAGAGCGCCGGGATCTAAAGATGGTCAGAGTGAAGAGGAAGATTCAAATGATGAATCTAAGGAGAAAGACTGAGTGAAGCTGCTAATTACCAAATGCCTAATCCCATCAGGGTGTAGATTTTCATAGTGAGGTTAAGTGCTGTTCATGAAATAGATTCAAATTCAACTCTCTATAGAAATGCAACTATTTTCAGAATAAAACCCTCAACACTGGAACTGAGACATTCAGAGACGGTTTAACATTTCTTTACATTTAACTTGTAAAGAAACCTGAACCTACTGTCAACTTCAACACCATTAAGGATTTTTGGAAAAGAAATCTAAAGCTTCTGGAGTTTATGGAGAAACTTGGATAGTTGAGTCTATTTTCCTTAAATGGCTGTGCTGTGATTGGCTAATCAGGTTTTGGCCTGTTAATCTTAAACATATTTGCCTTCAGCTAAGACACTGATGCATCCTTCATCCAGCCACATTCCATTTGTCATCTTATACATTATGCTGTCTTTAAGGCTATATTAATACCATATCAATCTATTTAATCTGTTGTGAAAAGGTTTAATAAACTAACATTTTACCTACATCCATAAATATTTTGAAATTACACATGTTAAAGGGTCCAAGGTGTGATTTAAGTAATAAACCTGCAAATTCTGTAGGCACATAATATATATTGGCTTGTTGGAAAGATCTTGATCACCATTGATATAAAGACAGTTAAGTTTTGGTGATGCCAATGTTCACAAGCAGTTATTAACTGTATGATGAAGAAATAGAATTTAAAAAGGATGTTGATATATAATAGCTAATATAATCGGAGCAATTTTAGTATCTCCATTAAATGTTTTCCTGATTATTTCAGTGTCAAGTGAAAAATTTTAGTGAGGTTCAATATCAGCAATAAGCTTGGTTGACCTGACAAACCCTTCCAAACCAACTTGGCAGGGTCACTTTTTCACCCTGTGTCTCTGGCTGAAAAAAGGACAGTAACCGACTGACTTTAATAATCAATAAAAAAGGTTATGGACGGTCAATGTGTGTGTTACTGCTGAAATTCGAATCAGTCATTCATTTTTAAATATGAGCAGACAATATCAGATCCTTGTCACTTTGATGTTCTTAAAAATATTTTTGGTTCCAACAACCTCCACTGATCCATTGCTATTCATTGGAGGTAGGACCACTCCTTAATTTTTGTCGTTCAACTAATAAGAGGATATAAGCGTGTGGAAAATACAGTATGAATGTATTGCTTCATTTAGAGATTAAACAGCTTCTGCAAAAATGTAATATGCATCCACATGTTTAAAACATTTAATGTGAATTAGAATATTTTCTGATCCCCTGCTGGTTAACAATTTTGCAAACTGTACTAAAGAAATATTTATTTTCTACTATGAGGAGAACTCGGCTTGTTTTTCAATTAGCCTGTTCAGAAAAAAAAAATGTAAGAACAGAAGACACTGCTTTAGCTTCCGACATGTTTTCTACTGAGCACTCTGAGGAGTGAAATTGCTCCCCATCCCGACCCTAATTGTTTATGCAGAATCTTTTGTTCAGTTACATGATGAAAGAGGATGAAATGCAGCTGCAGCATTTAGGCTGGCCTTTACTGCCCCCTGTAGGACCATTATAACACCAGCACCTTATCAAAAAGGAAGTTCTTTTTACATTAACAAACATATTTCATAACATAATTAGGTCTTTTTTCTATATTAAATCACAATATCCCTCACTAAACACAATTTGGTAAAATATTACATTTTAACTCCCTTTCTCCAAAGTACCGGATTTAATTAAGATTTCTGCAATGAAACTAAAAGAAAAACAGCAATATTAGGATCAGGGATTTTGTGGATTTTCATTACAGTTGTTTACTAAACATTTATGTGTGTTTTTTAAGCAATTTTTGTCAAAATGTATTTTAAAAAATAAGGTTTCCAGCCTTGAGTCATTGTTTTATGAATTTACTTGTAGAAAAAACTTGGATTAATTCTCTTGTAGATTCACATCATAACAGCCTAAATTAACAACACAGCTCTAAAGAGACATGAACACAGCATTTATCTTTGTTAAATTGTTAGACTCATACAGTTACGTTCAGGAAAAGCCGTTTAGAAAATCCGGTTTTTTGTTTTAAATCAAGCCTTTAACCATATCTAAAAAAAAAAAAAAAAAAAAAAAAAAAAAAAAAAAAAAAAAAAAAAAAAAAAAACTGTAAATTTAGAACTGTAAATTTACAGTCATTTTTACTTTTTTTCAAGGCTGCACTTTTAAAGATGAAATTGTCCAGTGAGCTGTGTCCAAACGAAATTTCTTTTTGTTTTGCACTTGTGTAAACAAAATGACAAATAAAATAAAAGTCTAATCTCCATTTTACAGAGAAACAGACAATCTGTCTATAATGTAAGCAAGTATATTGTCATCTTTCTATTTTTTAATTGATGATGCTTAATTTCCATGATAAATAATCAAAATCTACCACAATTTGAACCAGCAGTAATCACAAGAAACCAAACCTTCAAGTTAAGTCTTTGGAAAAAACCTGCTAGCCAAAATATGTTTGAAGTTTGGAAAAAGTCAACCAGGAACTTTGCAAAGTATGAAACAACTGATTTTATAAAATGCAAACAAATATCTGGTAAAGATTACCAGAACCTCTATTAGAAATGACAACAGAATCAACTTATTTTAAATAACCGATGAACAGAAGATTCCAGCAATTGGGGAACAACTTTATTTACCAAACCTTTAGACAGCAACGCGAATAAACAAAGCCTTAATAGGAAATCTCTTTACCTGAGGTCCTGGAGGAGAGGAAATGTCCTATTTCAGTGCCCATTTTATACAAATGCCAGTAATTACAAGTGTTATTTTAGACTTACTGATACTTTTCTTTATTTTAGCTGCATGTTACCATGTTTAGACCTGATGTTTTAAACAAAAGTATGTTTAGGCTTGTTGCCTTCAGTGTCATGATGAAAACGACAAGGCAACACATACTGGTCAGCTAATAAGCCTGTGTATTTATGTTTCATTTATTTTGGTTGTGGTTTCATGAGTTTTCTTTCATTTGCCATTACAATTAAGCACATCTCAATGTACATTGAAAACAACTCTTTATTTATGGATTAGGGTTAAAATTAGAGGTACAGTGTGTACAGGGTTACTGACATAAATGGTATATATTATTTATATTTATTCTATTCATTATCACATTAAAAGCTCAATCTCTGTGTCAGCCTTGCCTTAGAAAACTAATAAATTAGTATTCCTAAAATTATCAATGTAATTTAGACATTATGTCATTATGAAGACGACTGATTTGAAACACTTGAAATTTTTTCTTTGCAGACTCGCATTTTCTTCTGCCCTCGGCCATGTTTGTTTTGGTTAGAGTGCCCCAAACTGGGGTACGAATCACCAGGACAACAGAGGTAATCAATGTTCAGAAAGTCTGATATTAGGGTTAAATGTGTATTTGTGAAAATAATCAATACTCATAGATGTAAAGTCTCCCATTTTGGCCCGGAACCGTATTTTAACTCTCTTTCAAGCTGTCCTCCCCTGCTGTATTAGCAGTTCCCAGTGAATTTAATAATGTTATTTTAAAATAACATTATCTGCTTACTAAACTGAACTGTTGCTACCATAGCGAGTCAAAATCTGATAACCTATTTGTAGTTTGCACTTGGTTGGCGAGCTGTTATTTTAGGCTTCTTGTGCTACTGTCTTAAAATATTATGAATAATGGAGCTTGGCTCAGATAGTCGGACAGATCATAGAGGATTTTGTAAAATTTCCCTTTTATAATATCAAATCCAACACTTTACATGTAAGAAATTTTTTTTATTTCTTTTAGTGAATTGGAGTCATGTGAAGCCATTGTCATGAGAAAAAAAATTAGGGAGATAAATTCGTACATCTACAGTATATAAGATAATACAAGTGCTGTATTAAGGTAAGGTGTTAGGTCTAGCTTGAGGTTAAGGTTAGGTATGAGCCCATAAGTGTTAGGTTTAGGATAAGGGTCACAGTTAAGCTGTGGGAATGGGTGAGAAATGAATGGAAGTCAATGTAAAGTCCCCACAAGGATAGAAAAGAAGGCTTATTTTGTGTGTGCTCCTGTTTTAGCATAAAAGTGAGTACCAATTTTAGTTTTTAAACTTGCAAGTGAGAACAATTTTTCAAAGTGGAGACATTTTGGCCGGTCCTTACTAGCTGTTTTGCAAACCGTTAAGTTTAGGGCTAAGGAGTCAATAGGGTTAGGGTCAGGGTGATGTATGCATTGGTAATGGTAAGGTTTAGGGTCTTTTTTAGGGTTAGGGTATAGAAAGGGTAGCCTGGGTGCCATTCCGAACTTAGTCCCGCCCACAACGTTTGAGTTTGGGAAGTTCGGTCTGGCATTGCTCAATATTAGCGCGAGTATGCTGGCACAAAATCTGGCGGGCCAATCAAATTGTCAGGGCGGGCTTTATTCGATGATGGACAGATGATCAACAGTAACATAATCAACCACGTCACCAAAGTGCGCTTGGGTGACAACAACAATGGCTGCCGCTGGAGAGTTGAGGTGAGTAGATTCTGCTATTAGGTCTGTTCTAGAAGATATCGACAGCAAATTAAATTTTAAAAGAGGAACAGAGAAACGCGATCAAGGCTCATCTTCTTATTCTAGGCGTGCAACTGCACGCTTTGATATTTGTTGACAACAACTGTGCGTCGCTTAACATACGCCACGCACTCCGTTGCTCTTATTGGTTGTAGGTCGATCCAATTGAGTGCAGAGGCATTTTTTTTCCTGGTTCGTTCAAAACACGCCCCATAATCACAGCTCTATGGAGCAGTATCAGACTCATATTCTGACTAGAATTGAGTAGGACTACGTCAGGCTATAGAAAGGGTTAAAAATAACTGAAAATCAAGGGAAGTCAATTGGAGACAACATATGGTCCTCACTTCATATAGCAAGATGATTGTTTGTGTTTGTGTGCTCTTGTTTTTAAGACATGGGGGGCTCATTTTCAGGGATAATGGGATGTTGTGAGGTTCAGTAGATCCTTATAGGAACAAATGCATTGACCCCACATGGGTTTTTGGGTGAGGAGTCATGTTTAGGAGTAAGGTGTGAGTTGAGTTTAGGTTGGGGTTAGTTATGAACCCGTAATAGTTAGGGTTAGGCTAAGGGTGATGGTGAGGCTGTAGAAATTAATGGAAGTTGATGAAAAGGCACTGCAGAGATAGTGAGAGAAGATGGTGTGGCGTTTGTGTGTGTGAGTGTGCGCGCATACCTCTGCTGGACAGCTTCTCAAGCAAAATGCGGAAACGTTGCACTACAGATGGGGAGACGTCGTAGGTGTAAACCTCCCTCACTGGAACAGAGTGACACCTCCCAAACATCCCATCTGTGAACACAGAAATAGAGTCAATCAGAGAGTCCTACGCACATCTATTTTAGCCAATTTCAGATACATTTCCCCCAATTAGACCTTAGAAGATGTATTTATGAATGTTAAAACTTGTATTTCTCACTTCCCAAGCTCGCTTTTCATATGAATGATGTATTCATGTATCCCAATAAATAAACTAGAACTGAGTCTAAAAAGCATTAAAGATGAAACTAGTTGGAAAAATCAGTTTATTAATTTAGAACCGAGAACTAGGATGCTGAGGGTGTCCAGAGGTACCTTATAGTTTGTGGCATTAGTCTGAATCTTAAAAATATCTATCAAAAAGAAAAAATAAAGAAAAAAAAATTTCATAACAGCAGCTAATGGAAGAGTTTCTAGAGAGAAGGCAGTCCTAAAAAATGGTTTTGAGTTTGGACTTAAACAAAGAGAGTTTCAATTAGGGCTGAAACAATTAATCGGATTAATTGATTATTGAAAAAATTGTCAACTGAATAATCTATTAATCGTTAACTGGAGTATAGAGACTCTAAAATATGCCTTTAGCCAACAGAGCATCCCACTTAGAGCAGTAATTATACCTAGATTGTAAAATATATATAAATATTTTGCATTTAAGATAAAAAAAACAACGTATATATATTCGTCATTGCTCTTTCCCTAACTCTTTCCCAGGTGAAACCTTTTAGTTTCACCTGGTTTAATTTTGTAAAACTCTCCTTTAAGGAACCTTTGGCTATCCAATTATTAATCGATTAACTGAAAACATAATCAACGGATTAATCGATTTGCAAAATAATCGTTAGTTGCAGCCCTAGTTCAATGTATGCGATATGTGGCAGGAGTGAGGGGACTGAGTAGATGATTGATACTGCATAAATGGAGATAAGCAGAACAACTACCGTTATTGATGTGTGAGGAGGACAGCGGGCTATCAAGGATGAAACCCTGACTGTTGACCAGAGGCAAGGAGGTTATTGAATCATCCAGTGAAAGGAAGAAACTGTCACCTTTACATAATTAAGGTTTAGGGTATATATCTTTTCTTTACTCAGTTTAAAATTGGAGGTGAACCAGCATTTTAGGCGTTTTCTGCGTAGCAGCAGAAAGAAATGTGAAATTTACAGAAGATATTTCCAAAGGGAAAGAAGATACTGTAAACCATAAAGAGGAGGGGTATCTACAGTGGGCACTGGTTGGAAATGGACACTTCACTCACGCTCCCCGTGTTTCACAAATTGCGTGAAAAACATGTGACTACTATAGCCACTAGGTGGCAGTCTGAGTCCATTTCGGCGTCCCATGAGTCAGGATTAGATAGGTCAATTAGCAAAGTGGGATAGGTGCTATAAGTTCCGGGCTGTTAGTGTAGAGGGTAGAGGGAGTGGTCTGCAGTTCTGAAGGTTGAGGGTTCGATCCCAGCTATGGGCGTATATATTTCAATTTTTTTTAAATCACTTTTTTATTACATTAGACCATAGGGATTATCATTCTACATTTTTATCTTACTGTTTATATAGGTCTATTATATTGCATGCCTTATAGCCACAGTGTTTAGATATTTTTATAATTCTATTTACCCATATTATATGTGTCATGGTCTGGCGGTGTTTGTGAATGAGAGATGGTGCGGCTCGGCTCATGTTCACGTGAAGCAGCAGATATGCAGCCCAGATGTGGAATTACTCTCAGTGAGTTTAAGACTTTATTATCTGCCGCGGGCAGGGGCGTGCACACATAGACACTAGGTGGTGCTAAAGCACTAGGAAGTTTTTTTTTTTTTTTTTATTATTAATATTATTAAGATTTTACTGAAGTCGGTTTTGAAATGATCTTTTAAAAACCTGAGCCATTAAAAACGACTGAAACAATGCCCCGAAATGACCGACCTACTTGCGCACAAACGACCAGCCTCTCTCTCTTCCTTTGTCACGTGAACTCGCTCGGTCGCCCGCAGGGCATGCCAGATGTGCAGCATCATAGCAGTTTTCAGATAGCAGGAACGGTCGCTGACAGGCTGCTTCTCCCGTGCCCCATTAGCCAGGTAATATACAGATCAAGCAGAATCATTTTGTTGGGCATTAAAATGTCTCATTCAGCAGCACCAAACACGCATTTTGCCGACTGGTCACCAGATAAACTAGTTGTCTCCTTGTAAGATGCTATTTTACTTTTTATATTTTGTATCCATATTTTTTATCTTAAGTGTATACATTAGTCTATTTTATTGCATGACGTATACCCACAGTTTTTAGATATTTTTATAATTTTATTTACCTATTCCATATTATATGTTTCATGTTGCACGATTGTACCATAAAAAATTCCTAGTTTGTGAACTCCTTCACTAACAATGGCAATAAACCTGATTCTGATTCTGAAAGTTTTACACTGTAGCCCAAGCCAATGACAGATAACGTGAGGACGACCACATAGGCTACAAATAATTTTGGTAGAGTTTGCAATTGCAAATACGGAAGAGGATTAGGGCCACTGAAAAAAAAAAAAAGTTAACTGATTTTTAAATTTTATTTCAGTTTAGTATGGGAAAAAAGTCAGAATGCTGACTTTAATCTCATAATTCTAACTTTTTTCTCATAATTCTGACTTTTTGCTGAGAATTCTGACTTTTTGCTCAGTATTCTGACTTTAATCTCAGAATTCTGACAATAAAAAAGTCAGAATTCTGACTTTTTTCCCATGTTAAACTGAAATAAAATTTAAAAGTCAGTTAACTTTTTTTTTTTTCAGTGGCCCTAATCCTCTTCTGTACAAATCTATGTGTTAAGACAAACGTTTTCTGTTGTATAGGTTTTGTTAGGCAACATAAATTAACACATTTTGGTCTCTTTATTGTCTTAATTGTATATTGATTTAGTAATTGCAGCACAATACCAAGAAAGGAGGGTTAATCATATTGAAAAATCTTAAAAGCTGTTCACATTTTATTTTTAAGTGGTTTGTGCAGCAGGTATTAAAATAGCTATTATTTTGTAGGCTACCATAAGTCATATCCACGTGACAAGACTTCCAGTCATGTTGCCCTAATAGCCCATTATTTAAACTAATGTGGCATATTTGTTAAAGCTATTATTATTATTATTATTATTATTATTATTATCATTATTATTGTCATGATGGTTATTATTAATATATTGTAGCCAGTCACAGCAGGGAAGCTCTATACCATCAACATATAACAGGACAGGAGATGAGGAAGAGTTCAGGGAAGACACAGAGACAGAAAAAGACCAGGATGAGGGAGAACAGATGGGTGAGGGAAAACAGGGAGATGAGCCAGATGAAAGAAGTATGCTTTAGTCTGTTCTGTTGGTGGTGTGACTTTTTTCCATTGAAAACTCACGTTTAGAGAATGTTACAAATAAAAGTCAAATTTCATTCAACATGCGTTTATTTTTTTTTATAATTAAGTGTTACACGTGCGCTAAAAAGTGCCCTCCCCCCCCTCCTGAGCACCTGCCCCCCAAAATGTCTGTGCACGCCTCTGGCCGTGGGAGTTTGGTCACGTGATCGTGCTGTGCGTTTCCAAAGCGTGGTAAACAACTTTCAGACTAGAGTCTGAGACGGGAGTGGATTTTCACTCCTGTCCCATCCCGCTCCGATTCAGAATGACTCCCGCTGCTCCACCACTCCCATTGTTTTTTTGTTTTTTTTTTAGCTCGGGAGAAAAACTCAGAGCGGAAGCAGTGATGGTTTTTGGGTCGTGTAGTTTTTTTGACTCGCATTATAGTGTAAATAGTGCAACTGGAGAGACTGGAAGGATAAAACTTAATCTGAACACATATTTCCTGTTTGGATGCATAGGGAAGACCAACTACAACTACCTTACAATAAATGGACACATGAATTCAGTAAAGACTTCCACAAAATAGACCAGCTAAAGTCAAATTGTGGGACTTGGCTAAGAGCAGATTAAGGCGAATAAAAAGGGGACAACAGCAACATTTGCTAATGTGGAACAAATAATTACATCCTGCACATGAAAAAGGAAGCAAGGATCTCAGATAGAAATATGTGAGTTAGACACTTTATACTTCAGATTTAAACTCAACACACAGGAGATTATTCTAAAGCATTCTAAATAGGTTTATCTAAAGTATAAATACCAATCTGTCCGATATTCTCAAATATTCATGCAGCTCATAAAGAACTGTGATCTAGGTTTATGAATTAATTTTTTGTTTTCTATGATCTCAACCAAATACATTCTGAGTCATAACTGAATAAGTCTCACACACGTGGAGTAAACTCCATTTATCCGAGTTTGCAACCAGAAGGACTGTAACTGAGAACAAGGCCCATCTTCTTGTGATTCATGGAGCAGATTAGAGCAGATAAAAGATTCACAAGGCTATTCTCAGAAACACAGGCTCTGTTAGGCTGAGGGAGATTGACCAGGGATCATGACCAGGACCTAATGTGGCGACGCCAGGTTAAAAATAGGACACAAAGGATGCAGAACATTAGTGAAAACTCAGTTTTCCACAGCTTATCCAGGTCTGATCATTCAGAGCCTGCTGGGCTCTACACCAGACCTCTGCTTGCTGGTGACAGAGGAGCATTGTCCTGCAGTGTGTGAAAAGCCCAGATTTTCTCTAAGAAGTCCAGATTAATACAAAAAAATATATAAATAAACTAAACTATATCTTTAGTCATTAACCCCCCATTGATATTGGTAAATTTAAACAATGGAAACCTTTTGAAATGTCAATAAAATGATATTTAGTCATATTTGTATTAATCTCATTTTGTATTAATATTTTAAATATATATATATATATATATTTTAAATCTTTTGTCAGTATATTCATATGTTCTTTTAAATTATAAACTGCATATTTTTCATTTAAATTTCTTAAAAAAAAAAAAAAAACAGCTATTCAAATCAAAGGACAATTTCTAAACTCTGCTTAAACGTGCCCATTTTAAACAATATGGGGGAAAAAAAGAGTTTTAGGACAAAAAAACCCTAAAAG